ACAACGATGTGCCTTCGGCTCAAAACTGCCTGGCGTCGAAACACTTCGAAATCCTGAAGATGCTGGAGGCTTTCTCCCAGTGGCATTTCCAACCTTCTGAATAGGAACATCAAACTCACCTGGAGGGTAAACGCCTGGAACGTCCACTTGTGGTCCCTGCAAACGATAGGGCGTGCGACGTAGAGTGGATTGGAGCGCAGCTAGGGCCGTCTTTTTTGTCAGTAGAGTCACCCTGAGCCAATTACCGTTTGTGGGAGGTCTGCCCTGGCTGTGCTTCTAGTCACGCCCCGTCATACGCCCTATCGTTTGCAGGGATCATGACTGTACGCTATGAGTGGAGAATCACTGGTGGCGCTGGTGCTCGTAGCGCGGAGCCGATGCACTTCCATTTTGAACGGATGTGATATAAGCGTCCAGGAATTGAACTTTCTCTCGGGAGCCAAGTTGTGGGCTTATCTACCTTAGAAGAAAACTTCAATCAGAATCTAGCCTGATTTTCGAATGGAGAAAGACAGTAAACGAAGACAATAACAAATAGAGGGATATTTTCTATTGCTCTCAGTTTCCAATACCATAGAAATCGTGACTGAACCAATCCAACTTTGATCGAAGTCCTGGTTCGCCTAGAAGTTTGCTCACGGCCGTAGCCTTTTTAATAAGCACGCCGTAATCGTTTGACGCCAAAACACATGGAGTTAGAGCCATAGGCGCATGTGCCAAAGCGCATTGGGTTTTCGTATTCGCTAAAAACTTGTTTTCAGCGGTGACCCAGTGAATACCAGTATTACCGCTATGCATGGATACATCACTATGAATCATATTTTGTACCGGTATTTCACTAGGAATTTGGGAAAGGTGCCAATTTTTTTCGCCCTCGAACGATATGATGTCCATACTGCTAGGAGACCAGGCTACCCAAAGAAAAGTTCTGAGTTAACATTGGGGAAGAATTTTGAGAAGAAGGAGGCAAAACCCTGGAAATTGGGGCACTGAAGAACAATTGTCGTCCATTTTCCTCAGTCACAAAAGTACACTGTCTTCTTCCCAAAAAATTAGGTTAACACTCCTGTAATCCTGCTCCTGCTCATTCCGAGATTTGTTGGCAAATTTGAAAGGAACTGGACTCAGATTTCCTAGAGATTGATTCACATGATGAGTACATGCTTGTTCACTGTCGATGCTGGACGCTAGCCAAGGGAGGGATGCGAAGTTTGGCGCGGCGCTCATCTCATTTCTTTGCTTTTTCATTTGCTGCCAAAGCGACCGGCATCCATCATATCGTTATTTCCACGAATAACAATTTTCTCAGAATCTTTCCGCACTGAAACATAAGTGTTTCGCTGTGCGGTTTAGCGGTGAATCGAACCTAATGACACTGACTCCCGTCATTTGCAGTAATCAAGACTTTAGGTGTATTTTAGTTGGAGGACAGTCTGGTATGCAGGGTGGGCCATAAAGTATTCTTTGGTTCAAATCGCTCGATTTTTCATGGTTTCTGCGGAAAAGGGTTTCTGTTTTAGTTTTGCAAGGTCGAAATGTTCTTGTATTGATTTCCCAAAAACCCTAGTTTTCATCCAAAAAAGACTGGTTAAGGAGCAAAAATAACATAAAATAGAGTACCTATCACAGTTTCGACATCTCGGAGCTTCGGATGCCAGCATCAGAGCTTCGGATGATGACATCTTCTTGATGCTTTCTTCGGTTACATTACTTATAAGACCATCACCTAAGGAGGGCATTTTGCTGGTGGACTCACTGATATACTCGTTTTCCCGGCAGACGCTAGAGCGTGCCAGAGGGGCTGGGTTTTGCCCGGCGTAAACCCATTTTTCACCAGTTGTTGTCGCTTGCCCACTTCAATAACTGGTGGAGAACGGAATGGCGCCGCGCCAAGCTCATTCCCCTTGACTCTTCCCAGCATGTGTACTGTAACAAACAACTGTACAAACAACTTGATGACCGAGATGCCGACATACCGACTGTCCCGCATAGTGGAATGCAGTGAAAACAGCGGACGTATGAGCGGGGTGCATTGAAGATCGGCCGTGATGGCCTCTTCCATCAATAGTTGCCAGCTAAGAACGGCATAAATTGGTGGAAAAAGCTCCCATGGCTGCGCTCTTATCCAGACCCTCTCGCATGCCTCTCCTTTCGCAGCTGTAAGCTGGACTACGCTTTGGTTCTGTAGTTTTGCTATTAGGCTGGAAGACTGGCTGCTTAACTCGTACGACACTGGCAATACCATCACACAAAGAAGTTGAAGTGATGAAGCTCTCACCGTTCATGGAGCTTGATTCGGGCCACACAATGACTTGATGGGCCAACCAATGGACAAGTCAAAATTCTTATCCTCCCAAATGAATCTGGTATTTATTCGTTATCCCCGAAAAGAATGTTTGGTTATGAGTGGTATCCGAGATTCGATCCCCAACGGGACCGCCGTAAGCAAGCCACTTGCCGCTATACCACCTCTGCCCTCGATCATCATAACGCTTCAAAGAAAATCATTAACTGAGCTGCCAGAGAAATTACTAGACGTCATAGAGCTATGAGTTGACGTTGAAGTTTTTTGTATGGAATTTCGTATGAAACTCAATCACTGGAGTGCGCCAAGCACTAAAATTCCGTTCACGAACGTAAGGTATCGTGTGCGGCTGTGCGCTCTACAAGATGATACATAGGAAACTTATCAGCTGTCAAGATCGAGTGTTTTTAGGTTCTAAGGAGGAGACCAAATGAGACCCAATTTCAGAAAATGGGTAATTAAAATCTTGACACAACGGCATGCCCCTTTCTTTCAGCCGCTACCACTAAAGCGCCCTTCTTTTTAAATTTCATTCCATTCTATAAGTCATATTTGATGGGCAGTGCCAGGCAGAGCGTCCTGGCGAATAGCTGTGTGGCACTGCGTAGCTATGTCTGTTCTCGCTCCCATTTGAGCTGTCCCCGAAAGTCTGCGCACGGAGGTCGCACTTTTCTCGACATGTATAACATGCAATATTCATAATCGGAGTCCCTTACGGCCAAAGAAGATCTTATAAAGCTCGCGACCGCAATATGAAACCTTCATGCGACTGCAACTATGAAACGCAGTTAGAACCGTTGTTTTCAAGCACTTCCTTTGTGTTCTTCACTGAAAATGCAGATTCATGAATGTAGCATTGCCTGTGCTTTGTCACTGTTGTAAACGGATCATAATCGGCTTGGTCAACTTGTCTGCTGTGGTTTTTTTTTTGTTTTGAAGAGCGGAGTATTGCACATAACAAAACTGGACACAAATACTGTTTCAGATGAAAGAATTCCATACTGATGGAACTGCAGACGAGAACTTCAAAGCAGTTCGGGAATCGTTCAGGTAGTTGAGGCATACTGTAACATGTTGCTCTATCGATACAGGCTAACTTTGTACCACCACCAGACCAATTAACTCGAAGCAGACGGTAGCCCGTGAAAACTGAAGTAGAAGTAGGGCAGAAAGTGTTTGAAATATCACTATTACTGCTCAGTCTCACTGACAAATGACGTTTCAGAGGAAATTTCGTCGATGGTTGGGAGAAAGGCGGTGCAGCCTTTGCAGTTTATCATAAAGGAAGGCTAGTTGTGGACTTATGGGGGTGGATATGCCGATAAGTCATGTAATCGACTATGGAACGAGGACACCATGACTTTGTTGTATAGTTGCACCAAGGTAAACTCTTCAACATAATTATTATTTCCCTATTTACTTTTTAGATTACCCTCGCTCTGTGAAGGTATAAGGCGCAACCCGTGTGAAGTGGTGCAGCTTTGTCTTGAAAGCACGCGAAATGCTTTTCAGGCTTCTTGTTATTTGCTTTTTTTCATTCTTATCTTACCTGAAGTGTTCGGCAATAATAGGATTTTCAAAAGGACTAAGAAAGCAATGCCTAATGCAGAAAAACCTCGCAAAAGCTTTTGCTGTATCTAGAACTTTTCAATTGCGAGACGATGTACCATTTCTATTGAATCGGACATTTTTCAAAACCCAAATCCGACATTTTACCAAAAGCAAATCGACACTGTTCCCAACCGAAATCGACAACTTTCAAATCATCGAATACTTCATTCTCATAACAAATTCGGATACGCCTCCTTAGCATGGGCGCAGTTGGCAAGCAAGATCCACTATGTACTGCTGCAAGCCCCGCCCCGAAACCCCACCCATTTCTGAGCGCGGTCATGGTTCTCCAAAATTCACTTAATGAACTTTTTTCCCGGCTCTGCTTTTTTTCGTTTTTTTTTGGCTTATTCGCACACACTCTAACTGTAGTTCGCTGTGGGACGGTGGGGCGTGTCAAGGCCAGAATGAGTGTGCCAGCAACAAAACTTCTCTGGCCTTTTTTGTCGACAGCGACTCATACTACAGAAAGTGGTAAAAAGAGTAAATACGAACGTATGATACATCCGCTTGTCCACTTGCTCGCTTCAACAAACTGGTGGAGAACAAAGTTTGGACCGCGCCAAAAAGCAGCCGCACTGACAAACCGATCCAGCCGTATCGCAGAGAAAGTAAACACTACAGCTAATACATATAATATGCAGCACGCACTCTAAACAGCTAAAACTATTGGCAACCACACAAATACGACTCCACCCTCTTTTTCGTGAGTTATGAATTTTTAAGCACTTTTCCGACCCCGTTCTTTTCACATTCACGGCGAACGTGTCCCTCCAAAAGCGAATGTACACTGGCACAGTGGCCCCCGCCCCTCTTATACGCCCCTTTCTATGCGCCCTTTTATAAAATTTTGTTATTTTCTTTGAAATTTTCGTCTTTTGAGGCTGTAGCAGGCAGCTCCGCTTACTTTAGGAGCTCCGCCCACTTTTAAAAATTGATCAATTTTGGAAGGCTAGGTACCGTCCAGGCACGGCATGGCCTCTCCCGTCACCCCGGACGGAAAACCCGGAAAGATTATTCCCGGGTAACGGGAGAGCCTGCTCGTGCGGATTTTTCAAGGGTGGGCGGGGGTCTGCTTATTTACTGCCCCGTGTCAGAGGTGTGTCCGGTTCGATATGAAAAGTGTCCATTTCAAAACGAAATTAGTTTAAACGCACCCTATATGTCAGAACACAGACTAATCGTTAGTTCTTTATCTTTTCGAATCCTTACTCCTTATTGTAAAAACTAATGAGCTTTTCGAGATGTTATGCGTAGCCCTGTCAAGTGCGGATGATGGGGCGTGTCAGAGGGGATGTACTTGGCGTGTCGCCAACCCGTCCTTTTCTCTTTTTTCTTTCGACAGGCGACAATACTGTATCATATCGCTCGTATCATCCGTTTTCCACAAGATGTTGTCGGTTTAGCGCTTCAACAACTGGGAGAGAACGGGCTGGCGGCGCGCCAAACCCTACCTCACTGACACGCCCCTTCATCCGCAGTGAAAAGATTGTGCGCGATGCCAGGTTGAGAAAGGAAATGAAATTAGACTTTATGATGGCCTCTGGATTTCAGAACTCTTTCGCAAAATCAAATCTTCCTTCGCAAAAAGTTCTGAGAAGTGCGCATTTTTGTGCTTTTTGTAAAAAATTGATTCTCATGAAAATGTTAAAAATGTTCTAAGTAGCTAAGAAACAGATGATCATTGCTAAAAACAAGACAAGCATAGGGTTTTTTTACAGAGTGTGGCAGCGATATGTGTAGCGATACTGGTTGATAGAGGACTGTGCAGTTATAACGACAAAGTCACACAGTATTGGCCGGAATTCGGACAAAATGGGAAGGCTGACATTACTATCGAGATGATACTTGCACACAAGGTTTGTAAGACTGCTTTATACTCGAATAATGAAGTATACGAGTATATATATGCCTGGGAACTTAGCTCAGCTAAAAAAGATTCTGCATCAACATTTGACTTGAGGGCTACTACGGACTATTCTCATTTCTAAAACTACGTTGACACTTGAGGAAATGGTCAGGTTTCCGAGTTACGTTAC